CCTCAAGTTGCCCCCAAAATAGTAGGTTGGTAGACTCTTGTTAAAGTAAAGCACCCCGGTGTGCACCTCACAGACCCCGAGGAGGGGCACTTTTGATTTATTTCAGTGTCCTCTGCTTCCCGTGCCTGGTGTCTTCAGGAATCCAGCCGCAGGACAGCAGAGGTGCACGCGTTTCCTAATGTGCGCAAAGGCTCTCTCTTGCCTGCTGTATTTGGCTGGTTCCTCCAACAGGAGACAGGAGACAGGGAGAGAGAGGCGAGAGATTCGTGAGAGAGGACGTCTGCAAGGGAAACCCAGAAGGAAGTGGGGGGCTGTTACACAGGGACACAGCTCTGCCCCTCCTGAACCTGAGAGGCCAGATGGGCACATCCTTGACTGTGTGCAGTTCTGAGACAATTTGGTGACACAGAAGGGGAGTCCTCCAGCCAAAGCCACCCAACAAGGAGCCCTGTGACTTGCAAAAACGGGCCCTGTGTCCCTGCTGTGCTTGCTCTCTGAGCGGAGGCAATCACAGGAAGTGGCCTTGGGCATACAGAGCAGGTTTCCAGGTAAAGTCACACTCAGCCTGACAAGGATCCAGTGGATGGCAGCTGTGCTCACAACGGCAGTGGCACAGATGATTCTCCTGGGGACATCAGGGCCATCTTAGTTCGCATAAGTTCTCCCGACGATGCTCACATGGGCCAAATTGCCTGACTCATTCCGCGTCCCTGGTGTTGAACAAGGCCCCGCTGCTTTAATGAGGTCTGCTTCACACATCAGAGAGGGCCCTGTCCTGGCTTGCAGAAAGGCCTTGGGGACCTGCCCTTGTGACAATCCTCCTCCCAAGCCACCCAGAGCTGCTGGAGAGACCCTCCACGATTACCGCGCGAGGCTTAGTGACTCCCAGCAGGAAAAGGAGCCCAGGCCCCCGGCACAGTCACTCTCTGGGGAGCTGGGGAGGGATCCCCACTTTCCGGGGTCAGCCTGCAGCCAGAGCAGGGCTATGCTCCCCATCAGTCCCACCGCCCTGTTGTTTCTGGCCGCGTACACAGGGGCAGGTATGGGTGGAGTGGAAGGGGCACCCAGGAAAAGGAAAGGTCGAGCTGGCCAGCCAGGGAGAGACGCGGAGGGAAAGGCTCAGTGTCGGAAAGTGGGGCATGGGCTGCTGAGGCTGGAGGGAAGGAACGAAAGGAAGGGCAGGTCTGGCTCCGAGCACCGGATTTGGAGACTGGACTCAGGCACTGACACTAGCGAGTGCCTCAGGGGCCCCGGCATGCAGCCAGGTGGCCAGCTCAGGATGGAGCGGCTGGGGTTCTCCTGAGTACGCCCAGAAAGCAAGCAACGAAGCTGGGCATTGCCCAGGGGCCCCGGGACAGGGCAGGGGTCCCCGCCTGCCTCCTCCTGCCCAGTACTAGCCGTCCCCAAGCACCATCTCCACAGAGGAGGCCAGCAGGAAAAGCACGCGGGAGAACAGCAGGACGGTGAGGGCTTTAGGAAAATGCTTTCTCAGCGGCCTTCACTGGGCACCGTGACCTCAGGGTTTGCCCGCTCGTCAGAGGAGCTTCCTGGTCCCCACAGGATGAAGTCCCTCCTCCTCGCCCTCCTCACCTCCTTCTTTGGGCAAAGACAGAAATCTTTAATGCAGCCCTGGCTCCTGAGGTGGCGGTGGCCACCTGCTGGGGCCAGATGGGAATCACTTTGTACACCAGGACAGGGTTATTCTGGTCAGTGTTGAAAACCTCTCCTAGCTGCGTGTCCGTGTCTTCTCCTCCCCTCAGTCACCAGCTTCTCTGCCACTGCTCGGTGTGAATCTCACAGAGGAGGACAGGGTAGGAGACTCCTGAGCTCCTGCCTTTGAAGCTGGCTTTGCCACAGACCACAGACACAAAGTGTGCAGTTTAGACCCCGTGCTCTACTAAAAGTCTGAGTGCAAGGGAGAAACAGGTGCCGCAGAGGAAATTGTCTGTGGATGGCAACTCTCACCCCCATAGCGCCTTTTGAGTGACAAATGACCTTCCAAACAACAATCCTATCAAGCCAGCCAACAGCATCTCTGCCAGAGAATCGCCTTTCTCTGTGCCCAGAGGTCTCTTTTTCCCAGATCTGCAGCTGTAGTCTGAGTGTTTGAGTCCTCCTGGGCACTTGTCTGTTTTCTGTGACTGTAAGGAAATACCCAAGGCAGGCTAACTTTATACAGAAAAGAGGCTCACGTAGCTCAGTCTCAGGGGCTCAAGGGCATGGTGTTTGGCTCACTTAGCTCTGGTGAGCACCCTTGTCTGTCTGACATTCTGACAGGACAGGTATGGGGAGGAGGGCATCCTAAACCCCTGCTGTGGTGCTAAGCACTTCCGTCACTGCCCACGTCACAGCGGGCCACTCACAGTCCCAGCCCCTCGAGCTCTTCCTCATCCCCAGAAGAGCCCACAGTCCCTCAAGACTCTGAGATGTTACCTCCATTCCTCTTCTGAAAATGCTCTTCTCTGTAAGGCATAACCAGCTCCTACTGAACCTTCAAAACCCCAGCGTAAATGACTCCTGAGGAACATTTCTCAGACCATTCCAGGAGTACAAATAGCTCCCCTCTCTGTGCTCCCTAAGGGCCTGCCTAGATTATGAAGAAGCCTGGCTTTTCTTTAATTTATTATTGTTATTACTATTATTATTATTTATTAATTTTATTGGGACATTAAAGGTATACCGCATAATCACATTCATCATTGGAGATTTGTACCTTTACAAAATATATCCTGGTTCTTCTTTTTTCCCCACTCCCCTGCCCTCCTTTCACCCCCTTCACTCTATTTACAAAGACTTTGTTTCCATTTTTTGCTTTTCTCATATTTATTCCTTTTCCTTCTTTCCTTTACCCAGCCCTTCCCACTTCCCCTTTCGCTTTGGACCTTTTCTTCCTAGTTCACATTATCTTTTATACCTTTTGATCCTTATTTACACTTTCAGTTTCTCAAACCACAGAAACTATTCAGTATTTACACATGTGTGTCCTATTTATTTCACTTAAGAGTATGGCCTCAGTGTACATCCATTTAACTATAAATGTTTCTACTTTCTCATGCTTTATGGCTGAGTAGTACTCCATTTTTTAAACACATTTTCTTTATCCAGTCTCCAGTTGATGGGCAATTGGGCTGTTTCCAAGTTTTAGCTATTACAAACTGTGCTGCTATTTACGTGGGTGCACATATATCACTGTGGTGTGATTCTTTTAATTCTTTGGGGAAGATATCCAGCAGGGGAATAGCTGGGTCAAATGGGACCTCTAATCCTGTTCTCTGAGGTATCTCCATACTGATCTCCAAAGTGGTTGCACCAGTCTGCACTCCCATCAGCAGTGGAGCAGGGTTCCTTTTTCCCCACAGCCCCACCAGCATTTGTTATTGGTTGATTTCTTGATAGCAGCCATTCTTTCTGGGGTGAGGTGGAATCTCACTGTTGTTTTCATCTGCATCTCTTGAATGACCAGTGATGTTGAACATTTTTTCATATGTTTATTTGCTATTTCTACTTCTTTTTCTGAGAAATGTCTGTTCATTTCTTTGTATATTCTAAACAGTAGACCTTTGTCTGAGGAACAGCTGGTAAAGAATTTTTCCCACATTGTAGGTTGTCTCTTCATGCTGTTGGTGGTTTCTCTTGCTGTACAGAAACTTTTTAATAAGAAGAGACCCCACTTATTGATTCTTTGTGCTAGTTCACATGCAACTGAGGTTTTGTTCATGAAATCTTTTCCTACACCAATGTCTTCAAGAGTTCTACCTAAACTCTCTTCCAGCCAGTTTAGTGTTTCTCTTTTAATATTTACATCTTTATTCCATTTCTATTTTCATTTAATGCATGGTGAGAAATATAGGTCTAATTTTAATCTTTGGCAAGTTGAAACCCAGTTTTTCCAGCACCATTTATTAAGGACATTATCTTTCCTTCAATGAGGGTGTTTGACTCTTGTCAAAGATGAGGTATCTAAGTAGATCAGTTGTTTCTGCATCTTCTAATCTGTTCCACTGGTCCTCAAATCTGTTTCTTTGTCAATACCATGCTGTTTTTATCACAGTAGCTTTGTAGTATAGTTTCAAGTTGGGGATTGTGATACCCCTGTCTTGTCTTTGTTGCCCAGAATTGCTTTTGCTATTCTAGGTCTCTTCTTGTTCCAAATGAATTTTTTTATTGTTTTCTCAAGTTCTGCAAAGTACGCTGCTGGAATTTCCATTGGGTTTGCATTGAATCTATATGGCAGTTTTGAAAGTATGACCATTTTCACTACATTGATTCTTCCTATCCAGGGGCAAGGGATATCTTTCCATTTTCTTATATCCTCTTCAATTTTTTTTTCAGAGTGCTATAGTTTTCAGAGTAGAGGGCCTTACTTCCTTTTGTTAGGTAGATTCCTAGGTATTTCACTTTGGGGGGATGCTATTGTGAAGGGAGTTTTTTCTCCAGTTCTTCTTCCAGTGAGCCTGTTGTTCATGTACAGGAAGGCTGTTGATTTGTGTAGGTTGACCTTGTGTCCAGCTACTCTACTGAGTTTGGTTATTAAATCTAGAAGGCTTTTGGTGGAGTTCTTGTGGTCTTCTATATAGAGTATCATGTCTGCAAATAATACGATTGAAGCCTGGCTTTTTATTCATGCTTTAGGGCTAAACTAACTTCCCCACTTTGCAACTGATAAACTACAAAGTTCAAGGCAAGTTATGGAACCTCTCTGCTCACCACAGGAGGTAGCCATGGGAACCATTTAACCAGATCACTGAAGAGCACAGAGCAAGTGTTCAAAAAATGCTAGAGTGATGTCTGCGGTCACAGCACCTGAATACGCTGAGATCCACCTGTTCACACGTCCGCGTCCCCTGTGACACCTTGCGTGGCACCAACAGGGTCTCGAGTTACCCTTGTCCCTGGCAGCTAGCACCCTGGCCGGCTGGGTGTCCAGCACCGGCTCAGTTATCCTCCCAGAATGCCGTGTGCAGTCTTGAGTGAATAAATTCGACTGTTTGACTCCCCAGAATGCCCCGGAGGAGCAGCGGTGCCCTGCAGTGGCCGGGGCAGCTGTGCAGAGGGCATGGAAGGAAACGGACACTGCACCTGCCAAGTGAGTTCAGAAACGTGTCCTCCCTCCCTGCGATTCCTCTCTCCCTGCTCACCCAGCAGCCCTCCCTCCGCACACCCACATGCGAAGTGGAGACCCCAAGATGCAGCCTCCATGAATCGGTACTAAAAATATGGTTTCCCCAGCACAATGACTCCTAGAGGCTGGGGTCTTCGAGACGAGTTAATTCACTGCTCAGCCTTGAGCAGAGCCATCCATTAAATGGGCCTGAAATTAAAATCTATGCAACCACATTGATTAAAGAAGTAAAATGAGGTCATATGTGTAAGAATGCGCTGGGAAGCTCTGCGGGACTATGGAAATCACGGTCATTGTTACTGCTAAAAATCACTACTGTTATCAGATGGCTCCGCTGCTGTCCTTAGCATCCTTTGCCAACTACTTTGCCACTTGAAGGATTTCTTTTTCTCGACAGAGTGACTTTTTGCAAGTTCCCAGCCTTACAGGATTTAAACACAAAATAATCCTTCTGAAGGGCATTGAGCTGGACTGCCTTCAGAAGTGCAAAACTGAGAGCTTTCTCTTCACCCTCGGGTGCAGTTGGATGCGGCAGTCAGCACCGCTATTTATATCTTTGGGCTCACCGTGCAGCCCTTCCTCTGCGGGGCTCCAGTCCTTCAGCAAAAAGTGGCGGAGGGATTCGTGTACTCATTGTCACACCAAAACCAGCCAGAATAGGAATGACCAGGAAGCAGCTTGGGGAAGGTACAGCTGGGGAGAAAACGCTAACCAAGCGCATCCAGGGCACAGGCAGGGTTCCCTCGGGAGCACAGGTCTCCCGCAGTCTGACGTCAGCCCGCGGGGTGTTTTGCAGGAGGGGTTTGGAGGGACAGCCTGTGAAACCTGCGCCCATGACAATTTATTTGGACCCAGCTGTTCTTCAGGTATGTGTGAGTGTTGTGTAATCAGTGCGCTGGGGAGGTTGGGAGTCCCTAGAGAAACCCCTGAGAGGAAACTGTTTCCATGCAGCCAACTGCGGACAGGGAACAAGGTGACAGTGAGCCTGGAGGATGCAGTCACTGAAGACAGTGGCGGTGTTCTGTGTGGCTCTCACACCGGCAGAGGGCAGGAAAGCTTGCGGGGTGCCTGGGAGGTGCACGATTTCCTCTCCCTCTGCAGGATCCAGGATCCCCGCTGCCTCCCCGACCCGCGTGCATGAAGTCATGGGATCCTGGCCTCAGGGTAGACCCAGGGCTTTCTGATTCCTTCAGGCGTCCTTCCACAGTCTGATGCTCCCTTTCCTTTGGGGAGCTCAAGTAATGCTGCAGAGGTCAGAGATCGCTGGCTGCAGATTCAATGAACACACGAAGCCTGGCTTATCCAGAATCATACTTGTTTCCCTCAGACAAGGATCTCAGTACAAGCCATTGACTTCAAAGTGATCCCAGGAAACACTGACGTAGGGGGAACGAAGGGTGCACCAGTCTCAGAGTTATCCTACCCACGGGGAGGGGAGCCCCCGGGGACAGCAGCGGAAGCCAAGCCAAAGATGCCCACATCCCGATCTCTGAGACCAGGAGTATGCTACTCAACGTTGCGAAGGCGGAGAACGTAGCAGACAGTCGCCTGATCAGCTGACCTTAAAATAACAGCTTGTCTTGGATGATTGGGGTGGGCTCGATGTAATTACAAGGGTGCTTGAATGTAGAGGAGAGAGGCAAATGATTCCACGGTCAGATTCACCATGTAAGAAAGATTCTGCCAGCTACGGAAGAGACCACAGCCAAGGAGGGTGCCCTTCCAAAGCTGGTGAAGACAAGGAAAAGATTCTTCCTCCAGCCTCCAAAAAGGAAACCTCACCAGCCTTACCAACACCTTGATTTCAGCACAGTGACTTGGGACTTCTAACTTCTAGAAATGTAAGATGATAAATTTCTTGTTTTAGGACACTAGGTGTCTTACTCTATTTTCCACGGCTATAACAAAATACTTGAGGCTGAATAATTTCCAGAGACATTAATGTTGCTCACAGAACAATGGAGGCTCTGGGGACTGCAACCCACCACGGTGCATGGCCCCCTCTCCAGAGTGTGTGGGAGGGAGAGATCACACAGACAGACAGGAGGCCGGGAGGGAAGGGCCAGTCTTCCCCTGTAGTAACAACCCCTTTTTCAGGCAGTAATCACTGGAGAACTACAGGATCCCTTCAAGGCCACACCCCTATGACCTATGACCTCCCCCTAGGCTCCACCTCTTAAAGGTCCACCACCTCTTAACGTCGCCACACCCAGTACCAAGCCCCCAAAATTTAAACCCCTGAGGGCCAAATCCAAACTACATCTAGACGACAACACAAAGCTTGTGGTGATTTCACAGCAGCAAGGCGGAAAGAATACACACAACCAGCAGGGGACAGTTGGGGATGGTGCAGGACTTCCAGGATCCAAGGACTCGGGTGGACAGCTGTGCTAAGGGTCACACAACACCCGCAAGCAAAGAGCCGGAAGTTACCCGACATGCAGAATCACCGAGGCCTAACAAATGCAGGTGTGGCAGAGACAGCGTCTGCTAGGCCCACATCCTTCCAAAAGGAATCTGTTGGGCGGCCTTTCTTTCCCTCTGCTGTTGTAGAAAAAAATGGAAAGTGGTAGACTGCTCTGATTCAAATATCTTTACAAGAGAGCCTGCACACACATCAACACCCGTCCCCAAAGTTCCCCGTACTGAGCTCCCTCTGCATCTGGGGGCTTGGACCCTTGTAGTCGTGAAGGCAAAGCCCTTGTGTCTTCATCTCCAGCACCTTCTCCATGGTGCTGCCTGGTAGGCACTCACAGCACTGGCGGCTGGATGAGTACATGGGTAACTAACTAACGATGAATGACGGCCGGCCATTTGCATTGGCAAGGACCAGGGAAACCTGTGAGCCCTTTCAGCCAGGTGTCCATCCACTGGGTGCCCGTGTTGTCATGGTGGCCCTGAGGAGGTGGCAACTCCCACCTGAGAGAGGCGCAGCTCTCTGGGGCAGCCTGCCTTTAATGCCAACTTTACCCCACAGCCAGCATGCTCTCCTGTGCAGGCTGGGGATGACTCAGGGCTGCACCAGCCAACAGTTTCCATCTCCCCTGCCAGTGCCTCACTCCCAGCTAGCGCCAATGCAAAGCCCACCTTCCCCAGCGGGATTCCCAAATCGCTCCATGACCTGTGCTGTTAATAAGAACAGCCAGCATGTACTATGCACTTACTGTGTGCCAGGCAGCGAGCAAGGAGGCTTCTCAGAATAATCTCCTCGGTCCTCCATGCACCGCTTTAATTAAGAGACTGTCCTCATTTTGTGGGTGAAGACATCCAAGAAGCGGCTTGCAGCTGTGATAGAACAGAGGCATCTGACTCCAGAGCTTGCACAGCTGTGCTCCTGGGAAGCCCCCATCATGCATTAGGGTCCAGAAAGGCAGCAGGGATCCTACGAGGGCTAAGACCAGGTCCCGAGGAGCTGGAGATGTGAGCCGTGACTACGGTGCAGTAGCACAGTCCGCATGGGATGCCAAACCCACGAGAAGGCGCAGCCCACTGTGCCACGAGGCACATCACAGAGGACTGAGCACTAGCGATCTGCAGAGGTGCATCCACAAAGGGCCAAGGGCTTTCAAGTGACCCCGGTCGTCCCTCTGCCACACTCACTGCGGCTGGGAGCCCTGCAGTCTGCTCATCGAGGGGAGAGGTGAGAGGAGAGCCCCTGCCGGGGCTGGACACCGATAAGCCGGAAGGACAAGCTGGCCGGCAAACACCAGCCAGCAGTCGGCCTCCGCGTGCCCTTGACCGACCCCTCCTGACCCCTCACCCTCTTCCGCTGGCTGCGCGGCCCCGCATGGGACACGAGTCACCACCGTATCCCTGTGGGCCAGGCTTCCCTGTTACTCTTGAGCCTCCAGATTGGAGCCCATGGCGGCTTCTTTCCTTGGAGTCCCGCAGGTGTGGATACTAACGTGGGAAGTTCTTCCTCACATCAAGGGTGCAAGGCTGAAGCGAACAGTTTGAAAATGGGGAGAAGGGAGGTTTCCGGAACACCGGGCAGGCTGGGTTGGCTTTGGACCCACACCACAGGTGGAAAACACCGCAGCTGTTAGAGGTGTGCAGAGCCAAGGTTCAGCAAGGGTCCCGAGAACCTGCAGCTTCTCGGGAAGGGACGTCTGGAAGCCCCTCCCCAGAATCCCCGTCAGCCCTCTCTCCTGGGTGATGACAGCCCCTGTTTTCCGCCCACAGTGTGTAAGTGTGTGCACGGCACGTGCAACAACGGGCTCCATGGCGACGGGACCTGTGAGTGCTACTCGGCCTACACCGGCCCCAACTGTGACACGCGTAAGTCCCACCCGCCGCCACTGCCTTCCTTCCTGTGACAGGAGCTGGGTTCGAGCCTCGGCACAGCGCTGATGGTCGCAGCCCCCTAGGTGGCTGCTTGGCCTGGGCCAACACTGGAACGCAGTCCCTGGCCGGCAGGGGGCGCACTTGAGGCCGGTGGGCAGAGGTGCCAGGAAGTGGGGTTGTAGAGGGAGTGCAGGGGGTCTGCATGGGAAGGTCACAGGGCCCAGGCCAAGGTTGCGAGGTCCCCGAGGGGAGGTGCATGGAGGTGCGCGGCTGGGGCAGAGGACCCTGCACAGACCGCGGAGCTGCCGGTGGACTCTGTGCTGTTCGCGGGCCCAGTGGACGTGGTCCTGCGAACCCCCCGTTCCCGCCCAGACTGAGGTGAGCAGGCGCCCCCTCTGTGAACCCCAGTCGTCTCCTTCCCCTACCACCCCTGTTTGCCCAGCGTCTTGGGAGCGAGGCCTTCCCGGTAAGGCAGAGATACAGTCCAGAAGCCAGACTGAGGCAGAACACGCTCGGATTGGCTTCCAGGGGCAAACGTATCTCCGTCGCGCCAGAAGACAAACAAGAGATGAGGACAAGAAATATTTGCGATTCACATGGCAGCTAAATTTTCATAATAAGATAAAGTCCGTAATCCAATTGTAAATACAGACCTAGGAGAAGCCAAGACTCAGAATAAGAACTGAAAGCCAGAAGTAAACCTGAAAAGGGTCATGAACCCCCAAGCCACCCCCCAAATACAAATTCAAACCATATTTAGGTAGGACGGGGATTCTGGAGCTTCTGTTCTGCTTTGGTTTCCATTTCTTTGCCCATTCGATTACACAGAATGGAAAGGCAGATGGTATCTGCAGATAGGAGAAAAATACAAGGGCTGGGGTGGGGTCCACACCTGGGGAGGGGCGACATCCGTCATCCACTGAATCTGCGCCTGAGCTGCTGTGCTCCAGTTAGAGGGATTCACCCTGGAGGAAGAAAGGAGTAAGCACCAGGCAGAAAGCACCTGTTCGGGGGAATTCGGGGCACACTGCTTGTAAGAAGCGAACCAGCTGAAGGAAAGCCTGGAAGCTGAGGCTGGCGGAGCAAATTCTGATACACCCGGACTGGTTAGGATAATGCTCACTGCGACAAGAAATAAGCACAAGAATTCAGTGGTTCAACATTGTGGTTCTAAAACTACGCCCTAAGGCGGCCCTAGGTACCACTGGATATTTTAAATAGTTGAGGTCACCCAGAGATACATGCTGAGCTGCTAGCCTGAGTCCATTCAAACCATGAGGCCGTAGGGGCCTGGGATTTAGCTCAGTGATTCCGCCATCTGCCTTGCAAGCGCAGGGACCCGAGTTCAATCCCCGCTACCCCGCCCCCCAAAATGAGATCGCATCAAGTTCATTTGTTAGGGGTTCTGAATTTTGGTTCTGTCCTGTGGCATCCTATCTTGCCTAGCTGCCTTTCTGGTGATTGCTATGATAAAAAGCAAGTGGTGGTGGTGTAAAAATCAATGAGACCAGAATGAGGGTTTCAGTCCAATCTGAATCCAGTTTGGGAATTTGTGTAGTGGCTCCAACAGACTCGCTCCTGTGGCAAAGGTGGTAATTTAAGAACGAAATGCAAATAGTTTTCTTTCTAGTAAGCATGTTACTCTTTCAAATGGCTACCAAGTTCCCATGGCAAAAACAGTTACTGAGTTGATTTATAAATGTTATACATGGACCCACCAGGTACATCTTTGGGGGCCAGGGGATCACGAAAACATAGTGAGACACTAAAGGCTCCATGGCCCAGACATCCGGGGACCTCCAGGTTAGCAGAGGCAGAGTTCACGCATACGCCTGTGCACGTGGGTGTTCTGGGCTGGTCATTCGGAAGCAGATCTCTCTGTGACTCTGCCACTCTGTGGCTCCTCAGAGAGCTGTGGACAGGAATGAGAGGGCAGAGAAGCACCTGCTCATTATGAGCTCCACCGTTACCCTGCCCGTGGGAACGAATCCATGACCCTGCCCGGGTGCGGAGGACGGTGGAAGGGGGACACTGGAGGTAGCACCACTTCTGAGCACTTCGCTTGCTGCAGGGCTGGGAGGAGTTCTCTCTGAGCTGTTGATTCGGCAGGCCACTCCTGGGGCCAATTCTCCACAGTCTCACATCCTGTGGAGATGGGCTTTGTACAGATTTCCCCTTTGCCAGCCAGCAAGATGGGAAACCTTACCCACAGAGGGTTCTGTAGGACGCCGGAAGAAGAAGAAGGCTTTTCTTCTAGTTTCCGGTCTGGCTCATGCACCTGGCTCCTGAAGAACAGCTTTCTGCATTTGCTTCCCAGAGCCAGGTTCCTGGGGAGCTTAGCTTCCTGCAGCATTTGGCCCAAGTATTGTCCAGTGCTTGACTGGGGCAGTAGTGGCATCGCCAGGAGTCCCAGGCAGCCTGGGCCATTCCCCAGCCCAGTGGTGTGCTGTTCTGCACCCGGTCTCCGTGTCCCACACACATCTGCAGAACTGGTGGCCTCACCTTCATCCTAAACGGCAAGTCAGAGGTGCCCAGGACATACTTCTGAGGGGTGGCTTCCTACCCCCTAACCCCACTAGCACCTGGAAGCCAGCAGCTTCCATGTGCAAAGCGATCTCTGAGGCACCTCCAGGTGGACGGGCTCTCTGGTGCCCAAGAAAGCAGATTCCCTACAAAGCGACTCCTCCCCATAATATGGCCAGGCCCGCCCTCTCCGCTGACCTCTACATCTCAGTGGTAGAGAGAGGGAGGTTCTGCCTTGGCTACTCAGCCCTGGGGCCTGGAGCGATTTCTCCTACACACCTGCCATTCTTTTATTCTTTTGAAGCCTTTTTGATGTCCGCTAGCTAATTCTCCGTCATTCTCTACGTTGACCCCTAACCTCCTCACACAAGAAGCCCTCGACAACTCACTGTTGTGGAAACACGAGAACAAATGCCACGGAAGCCCTGGGGTGACACAGCCCACTGCATGTTCGTGGGCCACGCAGGCCCTCTCGGCCTGGCCCTGAGGACACTGGGCTTGGAAAAACAGCGCCGAAACCTGATACTCTGACCGAGGCTCCCATGACACTGTCGCATCCCGACGTGTTGGTCCGGCTCTTCGTAGCGCTTTGCAGACATCTGTGTCACAATATCATGAGTCCTATGCAGCTTTTCAAGATTAGTTGACCCTTAAGAACTCCATGATATGGTGGTAAATTAAAAATCGGGTTACTGAGCATTTTAACAGGGTTTGGCTTTGGTGAAACACATCATCCAAGTGAGTTTACAAATAAATGTATTATGTTGGTGCTCGGCATCGGTTCTTTGGGAATTGGGGCTGAGGAGTGAGAATCACAACACAATTAGTCTTCATGTATTGTGTTTTTTAAGTTATTGCCATGAGTCTACATTGCTTTTTAATAAAAGGAAACCCTATAGTTTGGGTCTTCTTAGAATTGGTGCACAAAGCTCAACGCTCTTTCTGTGCAGCTGTCCCTGAATGTGCAGCCTTGCTCTGCCCAGAACACTCCAGATGTTCACCGCTGAACGAAGACAGAACCAAGCTAAGATGCCGGTGCCTCCCCAACTACAGAGGCGATGGCAAAAGCTGTGAACGTGAGTCGAATTCCATCTGGCCAGGTTCTTCCCTGGTTAGGTTATTTGACAGCAGAAGCATTCACAAGCTCCTTAACATTAACACGACCACTTAACATCAACATTTCTACTTTGCTCTGTGCAGCTAAGTGAAATATATGGAGTGGGCCAGGCAAAGAGCGTATCCTACCATGGCCATCCTCAATGAAAGGCCACGTCTCCTTCTGTGCTCAAAGCACCTAGATCGACACTATACATTTATGTCATCTTAATCAATATTAGTGTAAAATGCAATGCCTCTTTTCAAAATTTTTTAAATTTGTATTTCTTCTCCTTATGAGAGGCTGCACTGTACATTTGTTAGGATGAAGTCTGGATCTAGACCTCCGAGGTTCAGCTCCTCGATCGGCCTTTTATTAGCTAGATGAGCTTTAATCCTCCTTGCCTCCGTTTCCCCATCCACCAAATGGGGTTAACAATGGTATCTTTGCCTTGTAACATTGTTAAACGTGTTAAATGAGTTCGTTAATATATGGCAAATGCTTCGAACAGGGCCCAGTGCATATTATAAAGTCCACAAGCACTAGTCTTCTTTCGTGCTACTTTCTATTTATCTCACCCATCATATGGGTTACAATACACCAGCAGAGTGTTTGTGGCCACAACGGCTGAGCCAGTCAGTCTGGTGGGGCTGGCGTGTGGGATGGGGCGAGATGAAATGCTTCCTCCTCCCTTGGAACTGGAGTGGCTTTGGTCGCTGTGACCACGGTCTCCGCTAAGCTGTCCTCCTCCTCTGTCCTGGCACATGCTGACTGTCTCTCATCTCGCTGCTGCATCTGAAGCCATCAACCCGTGCCTACAACAACCCTGCCACCCTCGTGCCCACTGTGTGTACCTGGGGCCAAACCAGCACAGCTGCAAGTGCGGGGACGGCTACTTCGGGGACGGCCATGTGTGCCTACCGCTGGACCCCTGCCAGACTGGCCTCGGGAACTGCCCACCCACGTCCACCGTATGCAAGTACGACGGGCCTGGACAGGTGAGTGAGGCCGGTGGCTAAAAGCGGGATGGAGCTGCTGCAGGTGAACTCACGCCCCTGGAGTCTTTTGCCTCCTGTGCCCACTGGCCCCGCCTCGGTGGATGTGACTGGGTTTCACCCTCCACCTCCATCTGTCTGGGGTCTGAAGCGAAGAGGAGGGAGCCTCCTCAGGGCCCGGGACCCTGTCCCAGGGGATGGAACCTGAACAGGCGTCGGGCAGCCCTGAGGACATGCTGGGTGAGCCGCTGTCCCTCTGCGTCACACCCAGACCTTGCCGGGAGTCCCGGTGGAGGAGCCTCGTGCCTGACGGTGCATTCGCTCACATTCGGTGGATGCCTCCTGGGTCCCTAACTGCAACCCAGGTGCTCCAAGGAGATGGGTCCTGCGGGAGGGTCTCGGGCCCAGAGGGAGGAAGGCTCTGGGGCAGCTCAGACACAGCTGGGCCCCTGCACTCTGCGCTGCACTCGGATGGGAGTATTCCTGGGATTCTGCTCCAGGGAGAAAAGTGCTTCACACGTACCCACTGGGCTGATTTGCAGAAAAATCCAACGGGGAAATTCTCACCCAGGAAGAGAGGGCTGTAGGGGAAAACTCGGGACCTCAAGAGTGAGATTAAACAAGTGCTTTGTCTCTTTAAAAAATGGGGCCCCAGGCAGATCCGCGAGGTACCACCCCGCCCTCGCTCCCCTGGGCATCGTGGGGGCTCTGAGCCGCCACCCTTGGGAAGCCAGGAGGAAGCACTGTGGGGTGTGTGGAAGCACCTCGGCCTCCAGGGCTGACCATCCAGTGTCCTGGCCGCCTCCCCAGGTGAAACCAACTATTCTAACGCAGTAACGCCTCCCCCTGGAGGAGACGCGCAGCCCTGCCTGGGCGACTCAGCAAGGTCACAACTCAAAACGAGAAATATGTGAAGCCAGCTGCAGGCGTAGCTGTAGAATGCCCTGAGTTCAGGCCCCAGGACTGAAAGCTGCCAGAGAGCAGCAGCGGCCGCGGTGCCTGACGAGGGTCCCGGTTGCTTTCTCCCCCGTCTTCTCCAGTCTCACTGCGAATGTAAGCAGCACTTCCACCACCTCGTGCCCGGAGTGGGCTGCAGCATGACCGACCTCTGTAAGTCCAAGAACCCGTGTCACAGGAACGCGAAGTGCACCATGATGGCGCCGGGCCAGCTGGGGTGAGTGTCCTCCGTCCCAGCGCCATCCTCCCAAGGGCGAAAGTGGTGGCAAAAGTGAAAGGCGCTCTGTTTAATAAGTGAATCGCTGAGCAGTTATTTCCTTTGTAAAACCCAGCAGAGCCCTCAGGACCCTGGACCCAGCCTGATTTTCGCTGCTGCTGTTGCTGTTGTTGCTGTTGTTGTTTGAGACAGGGTCTCACCCTGTAGTTCTCAAACTCACTATGCAGCACAGGCTGGCCTGAGCTTGCAGCGATCCTCCTGCCTTAGCCTCCCAAGTGTGCACCACCATGCCCCGCAGGCAGCCTGATTGTGGGTACAAGTGCTCAGAACAGAACAGAAGAAAACCATTGTGCCTAGGAAGACGCAAGCCCGGGGCTGCTGCACTCACAGGGGCTCGACCACTCGGGTCCATGCCTGCTTCCTCACACATGTAACACTGCTCATTGGCAGTGTGCAAGGAAATCGGGGAAAGCAGAGGTGTCCAGAGGGGTTTCCTGGAGTCCAGGTTTCTGAAGGGGGCTCACCACGAGGGAAAACGTCTGTATAGAGGTTCTTCTGCCAGGGGTGAACGTGTGACAGGAAAGAGAGGAATTTGGAGTTTGAAGGGGGTGAGGGAGGGGCCGTCTCGGCCTGGTCCCTGCCTGGTGCCTGATGGGGCAGTGGCTCCGTCCCACTGGCCTCAGTTTCCCCATCTGTTAAGTGAGCACAGTGGTGCCGACTCCGTAGTGCTGTGGCGCAAGCCGCAGGAGAAGCCGTGAGGAGACAGCAGCGCAGGTGCGCCGTGCTGTGACTGAGGTTGGACTGGGGCGGGGACCAGGTCCTCGGTCTCCAGACAGCAGTTTCCATCTCTGCTCCACTGTGTTCTGGCCATGATGGCTTGAGGGACTCGTGGATGGAGCGCCGAGCCCAGCAGTTAGACAGCCGCGCTGTGCTTCCCTAACCCACCCCTGTGCTCGCCATGAGGCTCATTACTTGGCCATCAGGTCTTCCGGTGCAGATTCCCTCAGACAGGTTTTCTGGGCGTCACCTTCCCCCCACATAATGAGTAGCTCCACCCTCACCCTCACCACGGTGGAGTGGAGAGAGCGTGGGAATCAGAACACCTGGGCAAAGCCCAGCCCCAGCACACAGCCTCTGGACCAATGCTGCTCCAGCCATGAAAAGGGGAGAATCCTCCCTTCTACTGTGGCTGTGATGAGGATTGAATAAGATGCTGCTCTTCAACCCCTGAGCAGAACAGGCCACAAGGAAATCACCCACATGATTTTACCGCCCTCTGAGAAATTTCCAATAAGATACCTTAAGTCAGTTCTTTCTGTAGTGTTAGAGGAACTGGCAGTGAGTTTTAGGGATATGTGTACTGCAAACTTCTCCTCAAAATAAGTAAATAAATGGGCTCTATCTGGAAAGAGGCTAGGTAAGAAGTCTAAGTTAGACGGACAAAATGGGGAGTCACAGGTCCTCGGGTAGTTGGATTCACCTGGGGTGAAGATTTATTGTCCTGTACAGTGAATGTCACCCAAGATCTGCACAATCGCTCTGTGGTAGTCACGGACGACCACTCAGTCTAGAATGGGGTCGAGAGTAATCTCCACCACTTACCACCAGGGGGCCCTAGGGCCAGTCCAAACTCTTCTAAACCAGTTACCTTATTGGACAAGCGGGCTGGAGGCCAACAGTGCCTCCTGGGCAGAGCTGCCCAGTTAATGCACATCACCTGCTTTTGAACACTGAGCTCCACTGTGCTGGTCCCTGAAAAGTTCAGCTAGCTTCCTGCTTGGTATAATTGCCCTTTATTATTTTCCTTATGAATGCAGAGAGGAAAAAGGGGAAAGAAGAGGAGACAGCATCTCTCTTATTTTATCAACTGAAAAGAAAACAAGCTCGGACTGGGCAGGCTTACATTCCAACTGCACAAAAGTGCTGTAAACAACAGTGACTTTTAGACTCTTGGATGGTCACTGACATTGATTTTTCTCATGTTTGTGTAAGACTGGTACAGTTCTAGCACCCGGGAGTCCAAGATCAGGGTTCAGTATGGTCAGGTGCTGGTGAGGGCCCTTCCAGGCTATAGATGGCCACCTTCTTGTTCATTATATTGTCACGTGGTGGTGAGGGGGTCAGAGAGCGCTCTGGGGTCTCTTTCGGAAGGGCACCAATCCCAAGCATGAGGGCCCCACCTTCACGCCCTAATCACCTCCCTGCTCCCGATATCACATTGAGGCTGCAAATTTCAACTTGTGAATTTAAGGGGGACACAAACACTGAACCCACTGTGCTGTTCTTCAAGTGTGTCGTGATAGTCCGGAGTCCTGGCCCCATGGCTGCCTGCCTTCTGTGGATCATACCCTCCCAGGACACCCACTTCCTCTGAGTCCGGCCAGCACACCAACCCTCCAGTGCTGATCTCTTGGCCTCCTTCCCCACCTTCCAGTGCCCTTGCCTGGGCTCCGATCCCAGCGTTCCGGGCCAGAGCTGTGCTCAGCACATAGGACGCTGTCAGAGGCTGTGGATTCTTTGGTGAGATGCTTACTCTCTCTGTGCCTCTGCCTCCTCACCCACAGTGGCGCTGATAAATGGCCCCACCATGTGTGGTTACTGTATTGGAGACCACAGGGAGGCACTGCACCCACACTTGACACAGGAGCCGTTAGTAAGTGCTGGTTCATAGTATCATTACTGATCTCGACCCCCTACTAGAATAAAGGCCTTGGGGTCCTTCGTCTCATTCATCTTATTAACAACTGCCACTGATTAAAACAGTGAAATGATTGATGGTTTCAGGGACACATCAGCCAACGAAGGAATGGGCTGAAATAGTGCAGAAAGAAAGGAAGCAACTGCACTAAGACTTGGGGACATTTGAGTACACTGAATCTCATTCTGCATTCCACAGTACTATCTCCCACCCAAACTTATATGGTACAAATGGCTTACGGGTGTTTTTAAAGCCTTAGGACAGCTGGACTCCTAATTTTTAAAAAAAATAGCTTGGAAAAAATGCCAAGCTGCGAATGTGCACAGCCCTAGAGAGACCATGTGAGAAAAATAGTCTCATAAAGTCGTAGACTTTAGACCGAGATGTAAAACAAAACGTAAAAACATTTACATCTCATGCATTCCATTCAGCACTAAAGCCATTAAATACAATTCCCACTTTACACAAAGCAGACCGTTGCCCTCATAACAACTAAAGGAACTTGCAGGAGAATAAACCCCGTGGCCGGTAAAGTTATGCTGTTGACGGGGTCCTCCAGAGAAACTCACCAGCAGGGCCAGTTCTGAGCCCCTCCCAGGTTCCGGGCTTGTCCCCTCCCTCCTTCTGTGCACAGCACAGCACGTTCCCGGACAGGAAGTGGCACTGTAGCAGGAAACTTATTCGATTGTATTAAACCAATACTGTCTCAGGACTAGATCTACCCGAGAGAGTCCTTATAAACCACCTCAGGCTCGTGGGCATTTTCAGCAGGACGTCCCGTGTCACCTGGGGCTGGCCCTCTACTGACTGGACACCTGGAGACCCCCACGCTCTGTGACAACCAAATGCTCCAGACCCTGATTGCTAATGTTCCCTGCAGGCAAGGGGCAATTGTCCCCAGCAAATCCCTGAGGGCCCCACTAGTAAATAATCTCCCACCCAGCATTCCAGACTCAGCTTCAAGGTTACTTTCTCCCAGAAGTTGTTCCTGGGGCGGAATTAGTCACTTCCGGGAGCTCACGTCCATAGCATCCTGGTCAGCCTCGCTCTGGAACCTGGGGACAAGTTTAGGGGTCCATGCTGTTCTGTCCCCATCCCCATCGCCATGGGCACCCTGATTCTCATGGTTGCCGTCACCTCCAAGCACGTGGCTGTCACCACCCTCGCTATTTCCCACTCCCCGTCTCTTCCATCAAACACTCTAAATGTACTATGGTTAAACCTGTTCTATGGGTGAGGAAGCTGGGACTCTAGCCATGTCGCTATCTTTGTTTTTAAATATGTCCCACCAAGCGAGGCTATTAAAGGACAAAGTGGCTTTTAGGATCTTGTAGCCCTTTAGTACAGTTCCTAGACGTAAGCAGGTACTCAGTGAGTACTCAGCTCGGCACTTGAGGGCTGCCCTCGTGTCCAAGGTGTGATGAGGGGGGAACCCACGTTCCGGCGAGGGTCCTGTCCAGGGGAGGAGGGGAAGTGTCTGGTGCCAGCTCTCACTCTGCACGGCCGGAGTCAGGGGTTCGGGAGCCCCAGAGCAGGTGCCACGCGAGCTGCCGGTGGAGGGCAGCAGGCATTCTCGGCAGGGACACAGCCTGGAAAGACACAAGACAGCCCGCTCGGCAGTTCTCGCTGCTGGAACTGGTGGAAGGCGGCAGGAAGAGGACCCCACAGCCGCTGCCTGCATGGCAGCCACAGATGTACGTGTGGGTCCCACGGCAACAAGACCAGTCTGGGCCCGCCGCGGTCCAGGTTTGCTCCTGAGCCTGGCCACAGCGGACCTGTGGGCCACAGGCCCGAATTTAGGAGCACAGCGGGGCCTGGGAGAGTGCTGCGACCCTTCCGGCTCCCGCGTGGGAGCCAGCCCCGTGGCACAGCGACCAGAACATAAGCACGATGCTGGACCAGCGTGCGCTCACCTACCCCTAACTCTGGCCTGGCTCAGTCTTGCCTGCCCGCTGTTGGGTCCTTCCCTCTGCTCAGGGACCCTGTGACTGTCACCTCCGCCTGCACTCCGCCAGGACCATCTGGCTGTCACCTCCTCTTCCAGGACGCGGTGGCTTGCAACCGCCAGGGCTTCTGACTCAAAAGAGCTGGGTGCCCAGTCCTTGGGGACTCTACACGCTAGTTGGCACTGTGTTCGTGGTTTGAAATTGGCCAACGTGGGAAGGGAAGATAAACGGTGGAAACTGGCAAGTGCTATGAATCAGGGCTTTCTCCCTAGAGATGCAGCAGCTGCACGTTTACCCAATGTGACTCTCTGTCTCTTATAGCACTATTCCTAAAATGTCTCACTTTCGTCGTTTCTATACTGATTTCTCTGCTTATTAATTCTTTGTGTACATTATCTGTTTAATTCTGTTCCTACTTACCACACAACCGTTAACTAAGCATCCACCCAGCCCGGTGCTACATCCGGGGCTCTAACCTGGCGCGGACACACGGTCCTCGCCTTCAGTCTCTGCCGGACTAGACAGGGAGGCTGACGCTGCTGACGTGACCGGATGGGTCTGCGCTTGCTGCTCCGGACCGGAACCACGAAGCAATGCACACAGCAGGTGCTGATCCACGCACGGAGGTCAGGGAAGGCGCCCCAAAGGAAGAGGCCGTGCGGAGGTGGGGCAAGAAGGGAGGAGGGGACGCGCATTCTGAGTTTCCACCGTCCTGCAGTCTGGCCAGGGGAGCTGCTTCGGGGTTCCACTTCGGGGTTCCACAGAGGGCCCCGCAACCGGCATTCGGAGCACAGATGACAAGTGGTTTCTGTGCCGGGTCTCTTGACCACTTTGAGAAAGACAGACTAAGTGCATACAAAGACATCTAATGTTTATGGCTGGGGTAGTTTATTAAGTGGCCCGCTCTGGAAGGCAACTAGGCAAGGTGTGATAAAAAAAAATCAGGATTTAAATTATTTTAATTATTACATTAACCTCTTCCTCAAAATGCTACCCCTTCTTGGCACACACAAATCCCATGTTCTTGTCACTCTCTGAAGCAGCTCCAGAAGTCCTGTTTCGTGAGTGTCTTCATGTGCACTGTTGTAGCTGCCTCCACATCCTGAATCAACTTAAAATACATCAGGCTGGGGATTTAGCTCAGTGGTGCCACCACCTACCTCACATGCTCCAGGTCCCGAGTTCGATCCCCAGTACCACACTATAATATATATAT